AATTACAGGTAAATTTCAACTGAGGAAAGAAGGTCAGCTTATGCTGATCTTAATGAAACAAAGGAATTTGTTAAAAAGATCCAAGTTTCCAATTTGGAATCAGTGAACCTACAGTTGTGAAGATATTTCAGAACTGACTTATATACTGTACTAAAGAATAAAATTAAATGGCCACAAAGGAACACAGTTAAAAAAACTTGCCAAATATTTTCAAAGACCCAATGTTTGAAAATATCAATGCATTATTGACTAGTTAAACCCTTCCAAACTTTTATATGCTTTAAAAACTTCTTTTGTATAGGTAGGTATGACTAGTTTGCAGAAGATAAATCTAAATGTCTCAAAATAAATGGATCCAATTTTTAACTGTTTAAAAACATTATTTCTGATGTATTCATCTGATGGATCTGGAAATTACAAATCTTTATACCTTATATGTTTTTCTTGATACCTTAAATTTGTTTCAATTGTGTATAATTTAAGTTACAACCAAACATAAAACAGAAGTTCAAGCAAGTCTTTCATAAAAAACATGCAAATGTTTTTGTTTATCCAAGAATACAATCTACACAAACTTTCCTTGTAGCCTGAGGGGTAAAACAATTTCATCTCCAAGTACTTAGAAATTTTCAGAACATAAAGAGTTAAGTCAGCCGAGCCAAAAGGTATCATTCCAATTCTCATGCAACGTGAAGCTGATATTTTTTATCCTTTTTTTATCATATTTACCATGCCTATCTAGCTTTAGGCTATAACTAGCATTAGGTTAACTGGTCTGGTGACCAGTATGTGGTCTTTATTCCTAAATCTGGCAAGAAATTATGCTCTGAAGCCAAGGCTTTTAGATCTATTAGCATAATGTCTTATGTTAAAGACATTTGAGAAACACGTTGATACGAATGTGAGGAATGATTAAGTAGATTTCTTCTCATCTCCTTTAGTCTACCTATCAACCTAGCAAGTCATGTGAGGCAGCCTTGCACAATTTGTTTTTCCAAATTGAGAAAAATCATGGATGTCAAAGAGGTTGTATTAGCTGCATTTCTTGACACTGAAGATGCTTTTGCTAAAACCTCTTTGCAGGATTGATTTTATGCTGCACAAGCAGTGTGGTGATTCCCTTTTTTAGTATTTCCAAGTGTCTGCTGTGTGAGGCTGCCTTCAAGGTGGTGTTCTTTCATCCTTGTTGTGGTGTTTCAATGTGGATGATTTTCTGAGAGACCTTAATAGTTCTGGATTGTATGCCAAAGGTTATGCAGACTATATTATCCTGCTTTGAATGGGAAATTTCTCTGTATTCTGTCAGACTTACTTCAAATAGGGCTAACTTGTGTGCAGAACTGATACAGGCATCAGTCCTGACAAAAACCATTATTGTACCCTTTACTCATAGGAGAGCTCTAAGTGGTTTTTCTGAATAAAGAATTCAGGAAACTCCTTAGAGCTAGCAGGGGCAGGGTAAATTTTTCTTCTTTCGTCAAGTACAATAGGGTTTTATTTGACTAGCTTATTATGGATTCTACATCTCAAGATGGTGCTAGACAATGCCAAGTGTCTAGGTCTTCTGGTTATGCAGATGTGTTCTTGGCAAAACATGGAGTCTACAGCAATCTCTGTTCTTGAATTTTTACTATGGTATGAGGCATGTTTTTAAGTAAGTACAGTTTTAAAATAGGGCCATAACAGTGCTGCAGTTGGTGTTCCACGAATGCGTGCTGAGTACCTACACCTGTTGGACTATTTCACAGATGCCATTACAGAAGCATTCGCTCATTTTACATTTGATTGTGTGTGTTTAAAATGCCTCAGACAATTTTGCCAATTGTGAAGTATGCACAGTGGTTCATTTTCTTAATGCCAAAAGACATGAAAGTGACTGGCATTTGTCGGCAGATTACTGAGATGAATGGAATAAACATTATGAGTAGGGAATTCGATCCCGGTCCTTATTTCTAATCCCGGGATTTCGGGATTATACTTATTCGATCCCGGGATCATTTCGGTATTGAGGGTTAATAAAAAATAAGAAAATCTTACAGAAATTAAAAATCAAAATTTAGACAAAAATCAACGTATTTTACGGTATACACCTAGTTAATTTAATCACTCTAATTAATCAGACTTACAGTCAGACTAACCAGACTTAAAATCACTGTCTTCATGTTAAATTTATTCTTTTTTAAGCATCACTGAGATCTCTTTAAACTCACATAAATTGAAAAAACTTTTATGTAACAAACTATGCAAATAAACGTTGAAAATTCACAAAAATCTCTCTTAACATCGACTAAATAGACTACTTTCATATAACAACCTAGTAAGTAGGTAGTAAAGTAAGTTTCTTAGCAAAAAGTATTTAAAAATAATATTAATCAGTCACATTTTTCTTAAATATAAAGAAAACTAATTTAATAGGAACATTCTAATTTGAATTGCGAAAATATGATCTGAGAAATAACAACGCATCTAGTGTCTCATCACCAAGTCTGCTTCTCAATTTGTTGCACATATATGCAGCTGCAGAGAAAACGCGTTTAGGTTGATGGAAGTTGGAGGAATCGTTAGTAAATACTTATAAGCTTCGAGGACACGGGGAGGATGGAAGAAAACAGTCCGGTCGACACGGATCGGGATTGTAGGAGTAAAGGCTATAATCCCGATTGTTTCGATCATTGTAAGCATGTTTTTCAAAAAATAAACGCGTTAATTTTGTAAATTCGGTCTCTGTGTGAGTCTCTCAGCGTTCAGCAAACCACTACCCCGAAACGTAAAAAGACTTTCTCGCATCATCCTGACAGATCGCGGACAAGGCGAGGGTCATAACCTTTTCACCTAAGGTCGACCCTCCCTAAGCGAGTAGCGTCAGGTCTATATTAACCACACTGGCAAAACAAGATGTCTGACACATTGACAGATAAAACGCACCGAGTAGTGCTCTCGACTGCACCAGAAAATCGATTGGCGCCCGCAAAAATTCAAAAATACAAAAATGAAGTATATTACCAAGTAACCCAGTGAGAACTGCTTGCCTATCATTTTAGTTGAAAATACAAGAAGTTTTATTCCAAGCAAGCATCGCAAGCCCGCTAGGTTAATTTCTGCTGCTTGCTTGGAATAAAATTTCTTGTATTTTATATTAAAATGATAGGCAAGCAATTCTGTTAAAAGCACTGGCACTGAACATTTCGCTTCATGCAGTCTATTTTGCAATTTTTTTTAAATGATGTCAATCCCGAAAATCCCGGGATTAGGAAAACTTAATCCCGAAAATTTTGGGACTGAAAAGTGGTCGAGATCCCGGGATCAAATCCTCTAATTATGAGTGATGGAATGGTAAGAAAATGGGTTAGAGCATTTAAAGATGACAGTATGTCCATGATGAGGAGCATAGTGGGCAACTGTCTGTCATTACTGAAGACTTGGTGCAGAAAGTTGATGCAAAAGTTCAAGAAAACAGATGTTTTACGATTTCGTCATCCGAAACAAACAGGCATGGCAAGCTCAGTAATGGGATTGTTTTGCTTCATGACAATGTCCATCCACATGTGACTCAACAAACCCAAGACCTTATCACATCATACAGCTGGGAACAACTTGATCATCCTCTGTATAGCCCTGATCTAGTGCCTAGTGACCACCACTTGTTCCTCCACTTGAAAAAACATCTAAGCAACAGTACTACAATGATGTCAAAATGGCCATGCTGCAGTGGTTGGCAAATCAGGCAGCAGGTTACTATGAGGATGGAATTCAGAAGCTGGTTGTACAATATAAGTGCCTTAATATTGGGGGAAATTATGTTGAAAAATAGATTAAGGTGCAGGCTTTCATGTAAGAATAAAATTGTTTAAAAAATTTACATTTGTTTTTTTAATATCAAAACAGTACTTACTTAAAAAGCATGTCTCGTAATTCAATCTAAAATAACCTATGCTGTCCAAGTTTAAGATGCTTGCAAGGACTGACAGATTAAACTGTAGAGTTTGCAGCATACTGTATGCCTTGTTATTATTGGTAGTTCTTGAGATTTTATTGGTAAAATTGCAGTTTTGGATGAGATATTTGGACCCCTCCATTTTTAGACTCCCTATACAACCAAAAACTCAAAAAGAAACAATATCTAATTGTAATCCCTGGCGAGACATTTGCCTTCAAAGTTTTCATTTCAGACAGCTTGCTAAACACACAATACGCTTAAATTAATAGAGTTCACAATATGACTCGAATTGTGCCCAAAAGTATTTAGTGCAATGGCATTTCTTGTGTTTTATGAGCTTTTATCTGTTTTTAGTAAAGTGGAAAACAGTTGATTTTTAGCATTGTTTTGAGAATGGTAGTTTTTTCCTTAGTTTTCTCATTCTCTACTGATCTTCCAAACTATTAAATCATATTGAAATGACTAATGCACCAGCTAACTGTTGAGTGATGACCAAATTTCATGGCAATTTTGTGACAGAGCAGTCCTTCATTAAGCTGAGCAATAATCTTAGCATGTTTAACCACATTGTCTTTAGGCAGCATACTTCAAACTAAAAAAGAAACCCTTCGGAAGTATAACACTGGGAACACAATTTTAAAATGACAGTCACATGTTATATAGTAGAAATTGGATGCCCAAGCTGTAGAAAATCAGCTAACAGATTTTATATTTTTGTTGGCAACTTGTGTTTGTCAACACATTCTTTTTATTTTTATTTTTAAACTTTAAAGTAATGCTAATATTTTAATTCTGTCAGAAGATTTAAATTCCTTACAAAGTTGTCTTTAAAATGATATACTATTTATTACATTTGGAATTTGGCATCACTTTTGTAAATGAGTACAAATGATAAAAATACATTTCAGCTCTGTGTGAAAGTTCTGCAACACTTCATGTAAACAACGAGGTGTTGCAGAACTTTCACACCGAGCTGAAAATAGCGACCATAAAAATAATTCATAATAATATTATGTATTTGATATGTAATTAAAATTATATCACAATCAATTAAAAAAAATACCTTTCTTGAACCAGGTAGACCCTCAGATTCTGTGAAAAAATATGCGAAGGGTAGAAGAACAAACAAACTCAAATTGGAGAAGAGGAAGACATGATTCCACAATCCTAGAATTCAATATTACAACTTCAATTGAAATTTTTTATGGCCAAAAATTCCTTTTATGAGAATTTTAAAAATAAAATTAAGAATAAAAATTAAAGTTAAACTATACCTTGAATAAGGGAACTATTAAGCCACTGGACATAATAGCTATTAGGATATAATAATAGCACTTCATTGCTGATAATAGAAATTGGAAGCAAAAGTGCTGCTCCCACAGATACAGCCAATGAGAAGTTACACATCCAGAGCCTTAAAAAAAAAAAAAAAAAAATTCTAAGTTCACTATAATCAATTATTTTGATAACTGAAATATATTTTATTCACTTCATATGTAAAATAAACTATTTTCCTTTAAAATATTCAGACAGTAAATTACATGTATTTTATTATAAAAATTATTAATCTAAAATTAATGCTATTTTATTCTATAGCATTTGAACAGGTGCTTGTCATAAATTATAATTTAAACCTTAAAATTATATACATAATTTATTAATTTATGTACTTATTCACTACACTTACGAAATTCTGTAAACCACAGCATCTTCATCATCTCCTGTAATAGATTTAGTTAACTTTTTCAATAAATGCAATATTGAAATTCTTAAACTTTACTAATAAAGTTACCTATGTAGAATTCTTCCCTTTTCTTTTTATACGATGATATGAGGCAATAAGATGATACATAGAGTAAAATGAAGAGCAATAAAAATATCTGAAATATTAAAAGAAAAAAAATTAAACTGATTTTTAATTACATTTTAAAAACCAAATTACTAGTACATGTAGTATTATTTCAATGTTGAATTTATGAATCATCTACCCCAAATTGTCTTTAATAAGAAAAAGTTGTTTAGAAACTAAATTAACAAAAGATTTTTTTCTTTTGTTAATTCAGTTTCTAACATTGTTTAACAGGAAAATTTTATTGACTAAAAATATAAAAGCAAATCTTATTTTTTTATATATGTTATTTCCTATCCTATTGAGATATATGAGAAAGTAATTTCATTTTACCTGACTTTTCAAGGCTGTGTAAAATGAAATTACATTTACTTCTTGTAAAGTTAAAATTGCAAATCATGAAGTATTAGAATGTATTTATTTGAATCCAAAAAATGGTATTAGACAAAATTAAAGAAGATCATTTAATTAAATCACCTCTGCTTATTAAGATTACAACAATATTGGCCTTGAAAAATGATTTTCAAGGTTGTCAAAAAAAAGTCCTATTTGATTCTCCATACACAACTTCCTATGTAACTACAGTACATTAACAAAATTAATACATCTTCAGAACTTTTGGAATAAAAAGCGTGCAACCATATATATAAATTTACCAGAACAAAAAAGAGGGACAGAACAGTTGTCAACCATATATCAAGTTATAAGGGAGAAATTTAGACATTTTAAAATAAACTTTATCAACAATTAACAATAATTACAGTTCAGCTTGATAGGTAAGCACCATCAATATCAATCACATTTTGCCACCATTGCTTCAAACTTTCAATCTCCATGAGCATAGAATAATGGAGGGGTTTTAAGGGTCAAGCATTGGATATTGTTGATGAACTGTATATTTGCAGTTTGGTTCTGCAGGGTGCAAAACAGATGACAATCAGTTGGTGCCAAGTCTAGGCTGAAGGTAGATAGATGAGGCAGATCATCCCAGCCCAGACTAGCCAGCTTCTCTACGGTTATCTTTGCTCTATGTGCTGACATATTGTTGTGGTGATATGAACTTTTAAATGAAGTTCTTTGATCTTTGTGCTCAAATGATCCAGTTGTTCACAAGAGAGTTTTTTCATGACAGTGATGCTGGTTGATGAAGCAACTCCATGACAATGTCAAACAAACACAGATCATTGCCTTCTTCTGCACTATATTCCTTTGAAATTTGCAACAGCTGGTTGACCTTTGTTCACCCATGAATGCTTCAACATTCTGGTCCAGATAAGAAAATGATCTTTGACCCAGAAATGTACCCGTATTTTCTCATAACCTTTGGTTTAAATGTGTCTGTTGGCATTTCCTGTGGCAATCTTTTTATTAGTAGCATATTTCTAGCTCTATTAGTTGACAAAAATTTAAAGATCAAAATTTGAAATCAATATTGTCAAATCAAAATTTATTGTATGTTTTTCAGAAGGTTTCAGAAGGAAAGGGTTTTCCCACCTTTTTTTGGTTGAAGTTATTACTATTATTATTAAATTTAAAAATATCTTTAATAATACACTTAATTAGCTTATAAACTCATTTAACTAACTCGTTAGCCCATACTTAACCCATTAATCCGTTACTAAATCATCTCTTTTTGCTTTTAATAGCGAAAAATATACCAGTAGTTAAGCCCATGGCGTGTTAAGCAACTAATAAATCTATAATTGTCACTTCTAAGTAGTTGGTTTGCCCATAGTTTTTATCTTTAACCATTTTAATAGGGCATAAATCTGGTATTTAAGCAAGTGATAGACTCATAGTTATCATGTTTAGTCAATGAATAAGCCTATAGTTTCTATGTTAAACAATTCAGAAACCCATAGAGCTTATGTATAAGGAGGGTAAGCTCATAACCTTCATATTGAAACCCATANTTTAACATTTTGTTATTTTTAAAATGTAAATAAGTATAAACATTGAATTATTACAGTTAATGCACCTTTTTATAGTATGCAAATTTGCATATTTACCAAAATGAAACAAACTAAAATTTTGTTGCACATATCATCATATATCTTTGTCAAAAGACAGAAAACACTAAATAGAATAAAAATAAACAAGTATCCAATCAGAACTGATCATTCATTTTTCAAATAGTTCAATTATAAATAAAAGCTAAAAACAATTCATTTTTGCATTTGTATACATTATATTATGAACAATCAAATCTCTATCAACAAATACTTATTATATATCAAATTAAACAGGAAAAATGATCTTTAATCTAGACTAGTTATAAAAACCATAAAGATACTCATTTTCAAATGTGAAAGATTTTTAAAAAGGCCAACAAAGATCAGTCCACGGAATCACAACACCTAACAGGTAAAACCTGAATGTGTTTAAATACTTTACAGATGAGATCGTGAGCTTCATTACACTATGGCCGCTTTTGAAGTGATAGAGCAACGGCATAAGAACATGTTTTTTCGAAAGTTTCATATTGTCAGACATTGCTAATGTGTCTATTTCCAACAAAATATGGGATGAAATGCCCTTTGGATACTTTACTTATATATCTACTTTAAACATTTTATTCATTCTTTTTTAGAAAAAAATTCAAAATATCTAAATTTGAAACCTGATACAACAAATCAAAAGATCCTGACGACAAATGAAAACAAAAAGCAATAATAAATATTTTTTTATTATTACTGAATGTTTTTAAAACTAACAAAACTTGGCACCATTATAGAGGAAAGACAGAATCTGCCCCTTAATATAACCAAAACTTGTTTAATTTTCAAAATGTTTGACTCTTCTTGAACCTTCATCAGTTCAATCTTACAAGAAATGGAACAGCTTTTCACACATTAGTATTTTCAAAATCAAACAATTAACAATTTGTCTGCTTCTAGAGCTCTAATTAGCAGGGCAGTTTCCCATTCCTCTGCAATAAAACCTAGAAATAATAAATTTAAGTTAATTGAAAAACAGCTGATAATCATGGAGTCCTACGAAAAGTCATACATTATTGTCAAATCTTCTGTAAAAAGGTTGACAGAGAACAGAATAGAGAACAAAAAGAAGTATTAGCAGTTAGGACTAAGATTGTAGATGCTAGCAGCTGCATATATCATGAAAGCAAGATACTTGCTTGGAAGTAGAAGGAAACTTAGTTATTGGAGCAATTAGGAATGATAAGTTTAGGTCAGATAAATTGTTAAAATCAGAAGTGTATGCAATAAGTTTATCATTGCACAATGAAAATTATTTTGTATAGACTCCACTTCAAGATCAATAATGGTTAGAATCAGAGCATTACAGATCAGTGGCAAAAGACAACTTCAACATATCCACTTTGCTGATATGGACAGGGAAAAAAGATTTAATGGTATACTAAGAAAAACCATCTATAACTCAAGAATACAGAACTAGGTTCCCTTTAAAGATATTTAAAAAAAATTTATATACATGGGATTGCCAAATAAAGGTTATAAATTCCAATGATAGAAAGAGTTGTATGATTGTTGGAAGCCAATTTTAGTAAAGTAGTTAAATTAATTCAGGAAACTAAGTTATTAGAAATAAATATTTTACTATTCAAGAACTATTATTAGTTTAAATATTAAAATATTTTGTAAAATTTTATTTTAACAGTAATGTTGAACAACATTTAAAAATTTTTTACAAACTATATTCATTCAATTTTCAAAGCTGTTCCAAAAATGTTTTTTGTAAGATTGAACTGATGAAAGCTCAAGAGCCAAAAACATTTTTTTAAAAATTAAACAAGTTCTGGTTACTTTAAGATGCAGATTTTCCTTTATTATTAAATGAAGAAGTAGAGACTAAGAAAATCTTGAAAGATTGAAACAAAAATAAAAAAACAAAACAAAATTAAGCCTCAGAAGTTCAGGGCTTTCTCGAAAATTAATAAAAATGAAAGCAGTAGGACAAAATGTGTTATACAACTTTGGAGTAAGAACATAACTTCTAATTTTATTTTATATTGATAGATTTAGATTAATTTAACTGTTTTCTTTTTTGAATTTACATAGCAAGTGAGGTTTTTAATTTGAAGATTTTGTTCTAATTTTTTGATAAAAAACTGTTCTGAAAATATTTTTATATATGTTGTAAACAGAGTTTATTAAAAAAAAAAGTATGATTAATTTTAAGAACATTTAACACCATTAGACCAAGTTTGTTTGTGTCTTATTTCTTTACTGTAGTGATATATTTTCAGGTGAAAGTGTGTCAGTATATTAACTTATATTAAAATAATTAAAACAACCAGTTCATCCTGCTTTCATTTTTGTAGTTCAGTTTGAATTCCTGATATATTTGAATTTTTATTATTCAAATTTGTGAACTTTAAGATGTTAAATTAATATGAAATTAATTATTACTTTTCAATAACATATCAAGCTATATGATCTATATGATTATTATTAATAGTTCAAGAACTAAATTTAAAATTAATAAAAATAATTACAAGTAATAAAGTACTGTTGTTATGCTATATTCACTGAATCTTGAAATTAGTCATCAAATATCAAAAGATCTGACATCTTTGCATCTTATATGATATTTGATATTTTTTGATAATTTCAATAATTTAAACAGTTTTATATATTTGCTAACCTAAGCACCTGATGTTTCCTAGGAAATATATTGATGTAATAACATCATTATCTAGCCATAACAAAATTTTATATAATTTACAATCTTCATAGGGAACTTATATCCAGTGTTATATAGAAAACTTGTTGAAAGGAATGGTCAGTACATGAAAATATTTTCTTTAAGGAACCAGTAAATTCATTAAAATGGATTACCTCTTGCAGCTAGAAACAACAAAGGATAATAAGTCAAAGATAAATGAACAAAAATTAATTTAAGTCTTTATTATTTGTACTTTTTACAATATGTTTTAATATATTTCATCCTGGATTTTCTAGAATTTTTTCTTTAAAACATAGGATGGATCAACTTAGTTTACTTACATGTTATATTTAACATGTCAAAATATAAGGTTTTTATGTATAC